GCTGAGTATAGTGTTCTCTCTTTCTTCTCTTTTTTTTTTGACAATGACTGCTGTTTAGTTGAAAGCAAGCATCAGCCTTCAAAGTATTTGTCAATATAGGAGATATTAGTGGATATTTCACAATGTCATGTAAGATAAAAACTAATTTGTAAGCAGTGTGGCAGAAATCTGGAAAGACAATTAAGACAAAAAAATCATTAACATTGATTCTTTTGCACTGGGAAAGTACATTCCTTTCTCCCAGAGCATCCTTTAAAAATGTTGTTTACCTAGGTCTGTATTTAAGTATATATTTCAGTGTGACATTCAGTGATTTTTCTTCTTTCTTTTTAATTATCTTTATACCAAGAATTTAATTTAATTCAGAATACTGCTCCAGATACACTCGTGTTGCAGAAACTATTGCCAGACAGAATTGCAGGTAATTACTGAGGATGGTTGTTGGCAATTTGACTTTTCATCATTTGTTCGTCATCATTTGTTCACACTCTGTGGATAGTTCCTCGCTGAAAGGATTAGGTTACAGATGGGTGGGTATTACTTCGGGGACTTCTTAAGTGAGAATCCAGATGCTTTTCTGCATCCTCTCCCCCCTTGCTTAGTTTGGAAGTCACAAGTCAGTAGCTGCAGGTAAGATTTAAAGCTTGTATCTTTGTTTCTCTTTTGCAATGGAAAACCGCTGTATTACTCCCTGTTAACTAAACAAATGATCTAACTGAAAACTTTAAATACTTGGGAAATTGCAGATTGAGCCAAAAGTTCAGAAGAATCTAATTTTTGAAGTAGAATATCACTGACAGACTGCTTCAGGTTTTCAAAAGAGTTCAGCTCCAGCCAAGGTCATTTGTTGTGAATGCTTTTGAAAACTTAGATATGATTTTGGTGCCTAAGCTGTAGAGGGGCTTTTTAGAGCTGTTGGCCTATGGCCACATCCCGGCTGCTTTGAATATGTCTGTAGTTTCAAGGGCAATGGGCTCAAGGTATAGTATTTTACAGTTGTGAGATGTGGGTTTTGCTTGTGTGCCCCACGTGCAGCATATCAGTGTTGCCTGCATAGCTAAAATCCTGCTTGATCCTCTCTGGATTTGATGGGGAGGCAGGAGCAGTTGGGGTATACCTCAGAGAAGGAAGCATGAATTAAAATGACTGTTTCTTTGTTATATGTTGCTGGTTGTGTTTTCAAATCTGAGCTCGTTTTCCCTACTCCTGGTTTCAGAGAGAAAGCCTGAAGGCAGACTCCAGGCTAAATGCAGCTGGTGTTGAACTAAATGGGTGTTTTGCTGTCTGTTCTAGCGGGACCACAGTCCTGGTTTTCCAAGGTTACCATCCTGCCCGGTTGAGCTTGGAAGGACTTGCAGACCATGTCTGTGTGCTCTTCCTCCTGTGGGCAGTTTGCACATGTGTGTTTAATCTCCCAGCAGCAGTTCCCAATCTCGCTTGTGTTTGTAAGAACCTCTTGTTGAAAAGCACTGGTAAATTCGGGCATTTCAGAAAATTTTTGCTCATATAAGTAAATGCAATTGTCGCGTGCCTTGACCTTGCTGGGGGCTGACGGGCTCCCCAGTGCAGTTGTCCCTAGTGGGACAACTTTTACCCTTCTAACAGTCTGCAGTGTTTAAATATCTCCAATTTGTATGCAAAAGTTAACAAGCTGTGACTGAAATTAGGGTTTTGCTTTTTGTAGTGGGAAGGGAAGATATGAATGTTACAGCATCACAGTATTTTGTTTATCCTGCTTGTTCAGAAAGTAAGAATGGCATCTGGAAAGTAGGTGTGACAAAGACAGCATAGTTTATTTATGCTTGTGCAGGAATAAAGGAGTCACCGTATTTGTAGCACAGCAGAATAAATTGGTTTTGGAGCACTGTTTGGAGTAGAGGCTTGTATGTCATATGTTTAATTTTTGTGCCAACCCCCCCCCGAGATGTACAGCCCCCCTTTGTCTGACTTGCCTCTCCGCTGGCGGGACTGTAACAAGGATGGCTTTAACTGCTTCCCCCGCTCCCACGTGTGCGTCTAACACATTTGGTGACTCAAGTTTTATTTCTTCCTTCTGTAAAACATGAGAGTGTAACTTCCAGCCCAGCCTTGTTAGGGCACAAGCTGCTGAAGCAGGGGCTCCCGGTGACCAGGCGTTGTCACTGGGTAGTAAAACCTCTTTAATGGGTCTGGCTTAACTTTTAAGTTATGGTTAATGTTTTTAGCAGTAACTTGTGTTTCCTCTGCCCTTCACGCCCAACCATTAGCCAGGTGTTTTTGTCGCACAGAGTGAAAAAATAAAAGTAATCTAACTGTACAGCTGGGCCCTCAGTGAGGTGGTGGAGGAGGATGGCCACAGATGCAAACTGGGGGATTACAGAGGCTGGATGAGTGGGTTAAAAGGCTCCTTGTAAGTGCTTGGCAAAATACAGACACTGGAAATGGAGAAGCCTTTTTTTTTTTTTTTTTTTTAACTATAAATAAATTAGAAGGTTTAAATTTGGCATACCGTGTGCTTATTCAGTTTCCTCTGTGTAATTTTCTAAATAAAGATTTTTATTTCTTTTTTTTCTTTCTTCCCCCCCTTTAATATAGTATCCACTTGATTTCCTTGTAACTGCAAGACGGGCCTGACTCTGATCTGCCTGATACTGTAAACTGTGTTTATGGAGCTGGAATTGGGGTCATTAATTTTCTTTACATCAAAAGAAGTCGTTTCTTTTAAATGAGAAGCCTGTTTCACCTAGTAATTCGCTTTAATTGCTTATTTGAAACTTTTGACATTTGATAGCAATTTAAACATTGCCAGATGAGGCTCACGCAGTCGGGACCTGCAGGTGCTTCCTTGTGTGCCCAACTTGGATCAAAGGAGCGAGCCCAGGGATGTGCCTGGCCACAGACGGGCACCCGGCGCTGGAAGGTGCTGTTTTCTGGGGCTGTTTGAATAGATGCTGTGTGTCAGCCTCTGCAAGAATTTGCTCAGAGGGCTCTCCCTTGGAAAGGTTTCTGTGGAGCACAGTGCTGTTTGTTTTTCTTGGGAGATAAACTGCGTGGCCTTTGTTTTGCCTGAGGCTTAATAGTGCTTGCAGCACTCAGTCTTTATGTTTTTTAAGTCTAACCAATAGCATTTTCTGCTGAAGGGTTAGGAAGAAGTTTCTAAAATATTAATTACTTTTTTCCCTGACTAATATCTGTTAATTTAGTATTATTGTCTTCTGGGAGGTTTGGAGGGAAAGAATTTTCTTACTCATGAGGGTAAGCAAATGGTGCAACTTCAAAGGCATTTTTACAAGGATCTAACCTCAATAAAGAGAAGAGACAAAAATGAAACAGTGTATTTCACTTGATTTTGTAAACTGGTTACTAATGTGAATGCAATTTATTGTTCAGTCAGCAGCAGAAGTGGCTTTCCTTAGCCTGAGAAGTTTGTGTGTGTGTGTTTTTTTTTTTCTTAAATCAGTAAATAAACAGTAATTTAGATTATTGCAGAAAGAGTAACTTTGTTAATGGTTTTTGGCTACGGAATGATGTGATACTAGATATACTCACAATGATTTCTATCAACACTGTACTGGGTCCTGTGAGACAGATTAAAAACTATTGCAGGAGTAGTCCAGCAGCTGAAAATCAGATAAATTCTGTGCTGCTGCTGCAGAAGTTAGGCGATGTTTTAGGGCTTTCTGAATTCAGAGAAAAGGGAAATGGTACAGTTGAAAGAGAATGAGCTAAGCCAAAGTACCAGTGCCAAGACTTCTTAAAAGAGTTTTATTGATGTGTGTTGTAATTAAAACCAGAATTAGTTTTCTAATAGGACATTCATTTCCTAGAGAGCAATTGCAGCTTGGCATAAAGTAATGCATTTTTAAAAATGAGTACTGATCTGGGGATACCCCCAGCATATGTTGGATGGCTGATTTACTAGCTTTGTGTGCCCTCATTATTAACAAGCAAATTAAATATTTTAACTTAAAATAATTATACAAATAAACCTTTGGCTGCACTGTGATTTCATTAAAACCTTAATTGTTTAGAGAGCTCAGTGAGAGTGTGTGAAGTTGGGTCAGTTTTACTGCATGGCATTAGTCTTGATAGCAGATTTACAACAGGGCTGGATTTAATCTCTTGACTAATCTTTACAGTAGCAGGTTTGGGATGGGAAGGCGTTTGTGTGTTTCAGGAGATAGGTAACTCTATCTCTGAACTGGAAACACAAAGCTGGGTTTTAAAATGTCTGGGCAGCCTTAAAATCAGCTAGCAAGGGGGATGGAGGCGGGGGGGGAATTGCTCTGTAGAAACAAAATAGGTGTTGCTTTTATATCAGCTTCTTAGTGTGCACATTGTCACACCTTCACACATGGCTGTAGGCTCAAATCTATTTCTCATCAAAGCAACTGTAGCGTAAGGGAATATTGTGACCATCTGGGTTGCAAAGATCAGAAATAACGGTCCTTACTAGCAGAGGAGCCAGCTGTGGGCAGCACCATGTAAACTGTTTTTTTATGCCACTTGATTAATCATTTCTGGGGGTGAGGACAACAAAACGTTTACCAGGTCATACACTAATTTTTTAAAATAGTTTAAAATCTATTTTTCCCAGGTTTAAGGTGGTGGTATGCCTTTGTAACACATTATGATGTGTTTGTAATTGTAGGTTCAGCATCTCAACTAACATTGTCCCTGAGAATGGGAAATGCAGGCATGTTAGATGTCTCCAAAGGAGAGTTAATTAGAAGAATGAGTAGTTACTGAGTACACCGCAGCTCCACTGTTTAATTCTGACAATAGTTTTCATGCTGGGTCTAATTCAAATGAATTCGCTTATGGTTTATTAATCTGCTGTGACCTGCAAGTCTTCTAGGGCATTAGGGGGGAAAAAAGGCTGAGAGTTACCAGGGTAGATTTAAAGTACTTTCATGGGTGGATTGCAAATCAGACAACCTTTGTCTTTTTCTTTCTTTTTTTTATCTTTTTGCAGGATTTTAACTTGGTATGTTTTTTTCTGCCTTTCCCCACTTCTTTAGGACCCACGATTATCAGCTTTAATTTTTGACAAGCTTCAAGTGCCTGACTATTTACAGAAAAACAGGAATGAAGGAGAGAGCAGATGCGAAACTTGTGCCACCCACTTGAATCAGCTGAAGCAGGAAGCCATTCAGATGATGCACACCCTCAATCAAACCAGCTACCCAGAACTGCCCGACCTCCCGCCCGGCGCCGGTGCAGTGACCAGCATGGTGCCCAGGATGGTCGCTGTCTCTTCCCAGAGAGACCTGCCGCTCGTTGCTGGGCAGGTGGGCAAGCAGCCTGGAAAGTCGCCGAATCTCTTCTCTGGGGCAGAGAGGAAGAAGGGACTTGGGTGGTCTCAAGGCGCGGGCAGCTTTCCGAACTCCAGCGTTCAAGTCACGGTGGCCCCCAGCGGTCTCAGCGGCGCTCTGAGCTCGGTCACCATCCAAGCTCAGCAATACCTCGAGGGCATGTGGAGTATCTCCAGGGTGAACAGCTTCCTGCCTCAGGCTTGTCTAGTAAGTAGTGATAATTCAGATGCTTGAGTTCTGTTTACATGTGTGTGGATATACAGAAAGATTAAGATAAGTATGTATACATCTCAAATTTTATCTTGGAGGGGATCAGCTAATGGTATTCTAAACCATGTTTCAGGAGCTGAAATAGAGCTTTGAACGATGTCTGTCAGATGTCACAAGGAATTTGCTTTCTTATCTCCTATGGTGAGATCCTTTCCTCGGATGTTTTTGCACCTATTTTAGCTTCATGTATGCAGGTGATGTTATTTGGCTGTCGCATACCTGGTGACCCCTTTAGAAAAACATAAAAGGCCAAGTTTGTCACATACGGAATTCTCAGAGCTTCATGGGATTACATCAAAGATGAACTTGACCCTCAAGTCTAGCGCTGAACTTGTAAGACTGTGTTCAGTTCATCAAATGCTGTTGATAGACTGATGGAGAGCATTAATCTTCAGGTTAGATGTGCTGCAAGCTTGCTGTAAAGGAGGGTGTTCAGAACGTTGCTTCAGAACCACATGCCTGTAAATGTCATTGCACTTGGCTTTTAAGCACTCGTGTTGATTTCCTGTATTTCGTGTATATTTTAAGAACTCTTGTGGGAAATTAAAAAAGCTTTATAGAGGTGCATGTTACCTTTCAAATAAAGTTCATTACAGATTTGTGACTATCTGTGGAAACTAAGAAGGATATAGTGACTGGTTTTGACTAAGATTTATTCATAAACCTTTTTCACATGGCAGTGGACAAGGGGAGTGGGAATAATGTTGAGAAGCGTACAAATAGAAATCATGGTTTTCACTTAAAGACGTTGTAGCAGATCTTGCAAGACCGGGTATGTTGGTGTTGGACAGCTTTAAATTTAACATAATGCCTTATGTGCTGTTGTATATAATAAACACTACCTAATATTGCTTGGTAGCTTCAGCTGGTTGAGCTCCAAGATCATCCGAGATAAATATTTGAGTGCTGCTGTTACTTTTACAGGATGGCTGTTGTGTTTCCTTCCAGAAAAGGCTTGGAGATGTGATTCTTCCCTCCCATACTTCTCTCATACAGAAATTCATGAATGCACATACATCCCACCTTTGACGGGTCCCTGTTTAAAGCCAGTGAATCTCCACTGATGTCAGATCGCTCTCTGATAATTTTACATTGAGAAATGGGAAGAAACTGGCCCTTTCAGCTCTTCATGTTTTATGAGGAACTGCTGCTATGAGTGCTTTTCTCTAAAATGCTGCTCAGTGTGTTAAGGATCAGTTTGGCCAATGTAAGGCATATGACGATATCTTTTATTTGTCTTTTAAATTCTGTGTATATCACAGAAATGTAGAAAAAAATATGGGAAAGCTACTGGGTTAAGAAGCCTGCACTCTCTGAAAGCAGAAGTATTTCCATTTCTCTGCTCATTCCTTGTCTGCCCTTATCCTTGTCTTAAATAATTCACTAACAGCCAGCTCCAGATTTCTTCCTGCTTAACCATGCTGACTGATAGATGTGGTTTTCCCTAACCACTGCGTTATTCTGAGATAAAACAGAGTTGCCTCGTTTAACCCCTGTGAAGTAAAAATGTGTATAATGCAACGGAGCTTAAGTGTGATCTAGAAATGTGCAAAGAAACTCAGTGGCATGGAAAACAGTGACCTTTAATGAAAGGACAAACACAGCTAGACTGTGAGTGTTGGAGGCTGCTTGGATGTGATCCAGTCATTTGCAAGGACAGTTTAGATTTAGAAGCAGTTTTTGGAGAGAAGCTAGGCTTCAGTTGTTTTCTCTCTCTTCTTTTTTTTTTTTTTTTTTTTTTTTTTTTAATTAATTTGAGCCTAAATGTAGTTACTGAAGCCTGTGTTGTGCATCTCTTCCTAGACTGTGCTTTTTGTGTCTGTCTGAATTCTCCTACTGCCTTTGTATTACGGAGAGCCCTGTGTCTGATGAAGCTATTTAGGTGAGTGAGGCAGAAAGTGCTTCCCGTATGCTTTTCCCCTGGGGAATCACAGGTATCGAAGGAAACAGGATTGGAGGGATTTCAGGAATTGGCTAGTACAGCCCCTGCCTAGGACAGCATCCACTGCAGGGCATTCTTGTCCAGTGGTCATCTCACCTCATCTTAAAATTTTGCAAAGACTGGGATTCCCTGACTTCTGTTGACTGTCGTGTCTGAACTTCCTTTCCTATTAGAAAAGTTTACTCAAATTATTTATTTATTTTTAAAACCCTGGTTAGAGAGGTGATTTTGGCTATTCTTTCCTGAAGTTGGAGACAGGGTTTAGGTTTAAGATTAACCCAGGAGAGTGCTGTGGATATGTGTACTTTTAGAGATGTCTGTCTTTAGTAACCATTCCCATCTTTTTGTGGGGCAAAGTTGGCTTGGCTAGAGGAATTCTGGAGCAAGAAGAACAACTGCAGTAGAAGGGACAGCATTGAATATACTGTTTATTACATATGACTGCAGCTTGGAGTCTTCAGCCCGCATTTAGTCAAGATACTGCACAAATGCAGAAGAAAAAGATGGCCCCTTTCCTGGAGAGTTTGCGCTCTCAGTTGTGATATGAGTTATTTTGATCACTATAAATACACCTGTTTCACTGGGAATCTGTACTTTTGCATTGTTTTCTCACCAAAGGGTGGTTCTTGAACCAAGTGCTGAGCTCCCTGGTAGGAAACTGTTACCCAAGCACCTTACCTCTCAGTGATTTAACTCAGTGCTGCATATGAAGTGAGTGTGATGAATTTTCTAAAGACGGGAAGGTGGACACAGATAAAGGATGGGGTTCATCTCAACTATTTTTAGCTGCCAAAAGGACAAGTGTTTATTTTAAGCTAATTACTGAGTGTTGCTTCGTAGTTGTGGGAGAGCAACGGGCACCTCCAAGAGGTGCTTTGTCCTTCTCATCTTGGATGTCTGTCCTGGCTCGCCTTGTCTGCCAAAGGTGCCCATGGCTTTCTGCCGGTGCTGGCAGAGCCCAGGGGGGTGACGTGGGGCAAACCCTTGCACGGGTGGCCGACGCAGGGTGCCGTGTGCCCAGTGCCTTGTGGACGTTAAAATACACCCAAGCGTATGGCTGCCAAACCTCAGCAGACCTCGTACCTACAAACATTTCTCCGGGATCCATGTTTTTTATTTATGGTTAGTTTTAATAGTGGCAGCAGTGGAATTGTCTGCGGAGAGAAAAAAAATGACTTGATTTCTGCTCTTCTCATCTCCCTTCCCAAACTCGCATGTATTGCCTTGTAATGTCACTTACGGTTGCGAAAACACTTCTGGGCTGAATGTTGGGGGTCAGAAGTGCAGGACATCGTAAATTTTTAATATATGTTTGCAGTTCAAGTGTGAAAATCCATTATATAGATTATAAATTTTTTGAACAGGAATGCGTTTTTGAAGTATAGTGTGGGTGCTGCTCAAGCCAAAATAATAACTGTGGGCTTCAGGAGCTGTGAAGAGGAACAGTAATTAAGGATCCAAAGGAAGGTCCAGGGAGGGGAAGGCTAGGATTGCAACCAAGGTGCAAAAGGTGAAGATGTAATCAGCTGCTTTATCCAAGTGACCTGTTGAGAAAAATTACAAAAAATAATCACCGGTAGCAGTGATAAGTAGTCTGACCAGACAGTGAGCACTGTGGAGGGGAGGGAGGAGGTATAACTCTGGGTAAGACAGCTGATTTGTAGTGGACGACTGACAACTATAATTAATAAATAGTTTTATATTGATGTTTTTAATTCTAGACCTGACAAGTGTGTATAAGTTTACTACTCCAGTGAAAAACCATGTTAGCAGTGCTCAGCATTGCCACTCAATTTAACACAGAAGCAGAGGAGTGAGGGGGGTTTAGCCTTCCTAGTTGTGTTGGAACCTGGCTGAGAGGTAGAACATTAAAACCACTGAAAACACCTTGTACACTTATTAGAAGTATCTGCATGTAGTGTGGAAAACAAGAAGTCTTACTGTATGCTTTCAGTTGACTGTGTTATTAGTATGCGATGTTATGTACTGCACAAAAGTGGTAAAGTAGCCATGCCATGTGCTATAAAGACATCACAGTGAAATAGAGCTTGTTTGCAAATTGCTTTTTTCTTTCATCTTATGCAAAGTGAAATCCTTGCCACACTGTATTTCTAATTTGAATATATACAGTTGGTACTGGTTATAGGGCAAAATATTGTGACTCCTTGAATCTTTACCAATTTCTAAGTTGCTTTAAAAGTACATTAAAAAAAATGCACCATTAAGAAATTGGAAAAGTTGGAGCACTGGAAAATTGAAAGCAGCTTAAGTAAAACATCTAACGCGTGTGTATATAAAATTGTAAATTTGTCAAAAGTCCAATGTATGTCCCTGAAATTATTCACAAATTATAAGTTAGGTACAAGTTTATGGCCTGGTTCAGAGCGGGAGGGTTCACCCACACCGTATGTAAACGGGTGCATATACTCTAAAGTTAAAGGAGTTATGTTTGTTTGTTTCATGTGAAAAATCTGTGTTGTTTTAGTCACAATTCAAGCGTTCCTATAGTTCCTAGGAATAAGTCTTCTCCTTACCCTAATCTAAACCAGATGGATTCATCTGAGGGTGGTGGTTCAGCCTCTGTTGAATTTCCTTAAATCCTCTGTGTTTGTTTATAGCAAGGATAACTTACATTTTGCTTAGAAGATGCAATGAAAAGCTGACTGTGGAAAACAGAAGAATGACAAGATTTTACTTTCCAGCATTTACTTTTTTACTTTGATAAATGTCATACCAAATGGATTTTTAAATTAATTTTTAAAATCCTTCTTGATAGCTTTCTGAGTGACCTTTTATGAATACAATGTGTGAAATATATTTTGTAGTGAAACAATTAAAATATAGTGCTTTGACCATAAATCTTGTCTGTGAGACATCTGGATGACACTGAGTTTTGGGACATTTCTCATCCTCTGCATATAATACATATAATATCTTGATTCTGCAGAAGTCAATAGCAGACCCCAGACAGCTGGTGGGGCCAGGGCTGCATAGA